TAATTGTGTCATATGAAATGAAAAAATGCCCTTCAGCTAAATAACTGCATGGTTGTGCCCAACCAATGTCACTGTCACCTACCATAGATAGGGATGTTTCCAGTGTTTCTACCAAGTTCATGGAAGTGACAATTTTATATGCACTTATTCACATGGTCACTAGAGGGCACTGAACTTGGGCACCCATATCGGCAGACACTTTAAAAAGACTGTGTGTGTGTGTGTGTGTGTGTGTGTGTGTGTGTGTGTGTGTGTGTGTGTGTGTGTGTGTGTGTGTGTGTGCGTGTGTGTGTAAATGTTTTGTATTTTGGAAAAAGTTAATCGTTTTTTGATGATTGATTTTTTAATTATCAAACCACTTCTTTAATCTCTAACAATTAATTAGTTAATAGATTATTTCATCTGGTAGGTTTCATGATAGCAGCTGTCATGTTGAATATCACAGATAGATAGATGAATAGAATTTGTTTAAAAAGTGTTAAAAATTCATTAAAAATGGAGTTTTAAAGTCACTGTAAAGAACTATTTGAGCACGGCCCTGGTTAGTCCTCTTGTCTCTCTAACCTGGATAAAATAGCTGTATATACAGAACGCCAAAACATAGCAGCCCTTTCCACCCATATGTTTTCATGCTTGTTCATCCCTGAAATTACACACAATTTATCAATGTGCAGAGGATGGCTGAGTGTGAGCAGAAATGGAGGCGAGCCAGCCTACATTCAGCTGTAATACCAGCAGCTTCGGATGGAGCTGTGATCAAGACAAAGAATCCCAGCTTCTTGCTCAGATATGTGAAGTTATTTAATCCCATCTAATAAAAACACCTGGTTTTCAATCAATCTTATTTTCAAAAAGTGTGATTTGACATTATTTATTTTACATAAGTAAATTAACGTTCCATTGAAGGCTTTTTATGTCACTTTTCAACTGTATTTTTTTTTTCATGTAGAGTTCTACTAAAGCATGTCATGAATTAGCATTAAGGGTTATTTAGGCCTACTCTTTAATGGTCTTAGTAATTATGACTGAAGAGGAAGTGACATGACACAGTTAGAGAGCCACAAAGCCATTAACATAGGCCATGCTGCTGCCTTTTCTATTATAAACTGTGCTTCTAACATCCTTTGCCACCAGTAGAAGATCTGATTCAGAAAAAAGCTTTGAGTTGGATTTAAAGGTCGAGGACAAAAAAACATGTTTTAATTGAAAATGTTGCCTCTTTCATACATATTTGAACAAGCACTCGACCGTCTGTGAAACAGTACCTACAGCTAAAGCTATTATGATCCAATAAATGACACAGTTAAAAAAACGCTTATAACGACTTTGAACTCCTATCAGGTACCAGTCATTAGAAATTCATCAGGCAGTTAATTTATTTAAACAGTTGACCACTTGGCTATCTTTGGCACTCTAAAGGGCTCTCCTAAAATTGTAAAATAAATTCACTGAAAGAAATAATCTTCAAGTACATCTGAAGCAGCTCTCACTTTGTTCCACAAGGTTCTGCCCGTGACCAGATAAACTGATGCAAAAAGAAATCACCAAGATCTCGAAAATGTCTTCACATCCTTTGTAGGCGACTCTGAAGCTGCCAAAGAAGATACATCTACTATGAGAAAAGCACTGCATACATTTGACTTTCATGGAATTTCAGGGAAAAATCCTTTGAGGTCCAAAGAGAACAAAGGTGCTTCCAAAACTCATGAACATACAAAGACCAGGCCTTTCAGAATAATGTGCTCTGGACAGAGGAATCAAAGAGTTTCCTGACCTGACAGCAGGCGTGTTTGATGAAGGCCACAGCAAAGTTTGATAGACTTCAGGGTTTTCTTTGTCATTTAGATTCGTTTTAGCTCGTTTCCAGAGTGGGCAGTTTTCCAGAGCTTAGATTTAATTATTTTAAAATGTTCAGCTTTAGTTTCGTCTTTGAATAGTTTTCGCTGTTAGTTTTGATTTGCTCGTCAGGGGAAGCTTCCTCAGACTGGCTGTGTTGACAAATTAGACCAAATTTACAAAAACTAAATCTAAACCAATGTAATGTCTATTTATTATTTTATTTCAGGGAGTTTTATAAATGTAACATTTCAGTTCGTTTTCAGGTTTTTTCATATTTTTCTTTTGTTTTGTTTTCTTGTTTAATCACCTAAAAAGTTTTGTTAGTTTTAGTTAACTACAAGAAAAACTTTTTAGCAACTCTGTTAAGTACACCAGAGTGAAGCCTCAAACTGAAAAGCATCAAGACTGCCCAAGAGTTTCAACAAGATGACGTCAGCTGTTCAGAAATGATTCACTTAAGTAATCATTTTTATTAAAGGGAGATGATGCTGCAGTTAGTTTTTCCACAGCAGAATATCACATTCAACATTTTTGGTGAATAACTTAATGAAAAAGATGTGTATGATTCAAATATGACATACTTGTGTGTGTGTGTGTGTGTGTGTGTGTGTGTGTGTGTGTGTGTGTGTGTGTGTGTGTGTGTGTGTGTGTGTGTGCTGCATCCAGCTGGATTTATGTTGGTTTATTTGTAACGTTGCTCATGTGGTTGATGGAACAGCTAATTCTGGTTCCAGACCTGAACTTAATCGGCTGAAGCCCTTCTTGGTTTGTGCCAAGCTATAAACACAAAGAAGTGTGATGCTGTTTCTGCCTTCGTTGCCAGACAAAGTGCAATGTGCAAACTTTTAGCCTTTTAAACCCAGTTTTTGAGGTCCAGGTGGTTTAAGTGAGTAATTATTAGCAATTCTAAAGAGTGCAAACTGAAAACCTGCAGTGCTGTGAATAGCTTTCATCTGACCTTTTTTGAGGGAACAGCCATGTGACAGTTGACAGCAAGGTCCTGGAATCATTCAAAGCTACAGCTACAGAAGTAGCCGCAAAAAAAAGAAGAAAAATCCATTCACTTCTTTCACAAATGGCGATAGAAAAGTTCACATGTGAAAATGTGACTGATAGAATGGAGGGAATGTTTTAATTGGTGTCTGATGCAGAAACAGCTTTAGATGGTTATTATTTGTCAGGATATGTCAGGAGAAAAACCTGCTGATTAATTGCCAGGAAGCCAGAAGCTGCACAGCTGCTGTGCAACCAGTGTGTGTGCGTGCCGTTTGAACGTAGTTTGGAAGCATGTTTAGTTTCAGTACTTTATTTTAATGCCAAGTCTTTTTGTACATGTGGCTGCATGACATTTACTCATGTAGAGTCTAATTTCTTGTTTTGCGAAACAACATTTAAACTTTTGGGCAATGTCACTTTTCATGTAATGCATCTGTACAAGAGCACGGAGCTGCGTGTTAGCCTGAAAATGATGCTCGGTGTTTTCTAAACCAATTTTCTACACTGTAATCATTTCTAATCTGATGTTCTTCGGCCCCCTTGTGCCACCCAATTTAAGAAATCCTATAAATGCCACCGGCGTGTGCGTGTGTATATGCATGTGTGTGTAGCAGTGAAGCATTCAGCATTCAGGGCCAAGCCTCCTGCTGCTTTCACTAGGGTGAGAGGAGCAACACACAAACACGCAGACCCACAGTGCTGGCTTTCAGCTGATGCATTTATGAGCAACACACATACAAAGAATCCACTCCCTCCACGTCTTCTCTCTCTGCATCTTGCTTCTGTGACTCCACCTGCTATCCAGCATCCCCGTCCTCACCCCTTTTCCCTCCATCTGTTGCACTCCTTCACTCCACCCGCCTCGCTCGGTCTCTGTTTTCCATCCAGCCTAATTAGAGCTCCGTCAAATCCAGGTGAGCCGACAGCCAATTATCACTCTGTCACACTGAGTCATGCACTCCCATCCCTCTTCTTTTGCCCTTTTTTAGCCTTGCGGGAATTTGATTTTTTGCATCAGTAGCACGAACAGGACAGTTCGCTATTCTTGTTTTAGGAAACTGCCAGAAGAATGAAGGCTGAGTATGAAGCCGTGCGAGGATAAGCAAGCGGACACGCGGGCTGCCACACAGACGCCACAACAGAGCCGAGACTGAATTTACGTGTAGAGTAGAATACAGAAAGACTTGTGCACGAACTGGGCCTGTATTATTTTCAGAAAGCCCGCTCACGTAATGCTTTGGCACATTTAACCGTTTCACACTAAAATGTTCCGTTAACAAGTCCGCAGGTCGCTCTAGTCTCACACGTGCATTTATCATAATCGTGCAAAACGCATTAAACTGTACATTTTAATTAATGTCACCAAGACAAAGTCTAAACAGAAAGACTTGTGAGTCTGCAATTAATGAAACTAATAAGGTAACTTAACTAATGACCGATTAATGAGGGTGCTGCACATTGCTGCAGAAATGACATCTTATACAAAAGGACAGGGAGCAGTGCCCTGACTTGCAAAGATTTTCAGTGCGCAGAACAACTGTGCCATTATATGCCTGTACGGAGAGATGCTCCCATCAAACTGCATTACAAAAAACCCTGATTCCAAAAATAACAGCGCACCATAGGGGAAAAACTACTGTGACAGTCTTCGTGACAGCGCAAATATTCCCATAAATGTGGGCAACACTTTCACAACTGTAGCAGCAATATGATCATCTAGCAGAAAAGCATAATATACAAATCATATATAATGCGTATATAATTTACAAATAAATGGCATAAAAAAAGATGACTGTAATTCAGTATTCATACTGTACCTGCACGACATATGATAGCTACATTTACATAATTCTCACATTTACATTAAATGATTCAATTGAGATTTTGGAGGCAGGCTTTGTTGTTTCATCTAAAGATGATTTCTATATGCTTCTTATAGATAAAAACATAGTTTGGGTGTTGTTGTGCTCCCTCTGTGCAGACTGCATTGTTAGGTGTGAGTGAGAGTTGACGGACTTGTGTGAATACAAAATTCGTTCTCGCCTTCAGTGTGTCCATTCTGCAGGACGCTCCTCTCAGCTGTCACCACACAGCGCTGCATTTCTTCCATTTGTGACACTTTCCACGAAAAAGCAGTTTAAAAGGGAAAAGACCTTTAAACTCACCATATTCTAGGGTTTCCTAGACGTTTGCATTTCGGAGAAGATGTTGAAGAAATGAATGCACGGGGGTCCCGAGATTACAGACAGTTAGCGAAGAGTCTTGGAATTCCTCCAGTCCCACAACACTTGGTCTAATTCCCCGAGGTGGATAAGAAAAAGGTCCGTAAATGCACCGTGAGGAGCGTCAGGTAAATCCTCCGCTCAGCTGCCGCCGTGCGTGGAGCTTCCCCCGCCTCAGCGTTGGTTAGTGTTCCCGGTAAGCCAGCGGTCTGCTCCCTGACCGTCCGCGGTAGCCGCGCTCTGAAAGAGCAGCATCCCTAACACTTTGTCCACACACACACCCTCGGGAGGCGTCGGCTGTGTTCGGCTGTTTCCGGTAACATTATAGGCTCCTGGGTGGAGGCTGTCAAAGACGTCCTAGTTTATTTACACACTGACAGGCTCCTCTTGAATTGTATTAATCATCCCGCTCATAATGACATTTATTTCTATAGAAATTTCGTTTACACACACTTTAAAACACAAAACCAGGCTGTGTCTTTGGTTCGATTCCCGCACTGAAAACGCTGTCCCCTGACAGCTCCCCCGTCGGAGCCCATGAGCGATAAGCTACCTGCTCCAGAGGAGGTCCCGGTAGTAATTAACACCACACCATCGACCTGCTGCAGCCTGTGACAGTGCAGAGGTGCCATCTATAGAGAAAAGGATTTCCTACAGTTCTGGCACTGAAAGCGATAATGAGACATTTCACCGAGGAAACACAGTGGGACGAAAAACTGTGGTACAAACATTTATTTTGAATATTTTTACTTATTTTGTACAACTTACCTTTTTAACTTTGGCCAATTACCAGTGATAGCCAAATTTAATCATGCCAAATATTTATTTTATGCAATTTATTTATTTATTATGCAAATATATTTTAAACTTCTCGGTGGCTTCGCCTCATCTAACTCTATACTTGCCTACATGTGCTATTATACATGCTTTTAAACCATTTAAAATTACAATTCATAGTTTTATATGTGAATTTTATAATGTTAAATTAGTATTAAACAAATGGCTGACTAAGTATTTTAGGCTTTAGTTTACTTCAGCCATATTCCATATAAAATCATACAAAAATAAAAATAGCTTCAAATACAGTCATGACTACTGCATATGTGGTCTGCACAATACTGCTTATAGTTTAGCTGCATCTTGCTGATCATTTTTGCTAACATAAGCTGATAACTTAGTACTATAACGTCTTCGCTACACACCCAGCAAACATGGTTGAAACCCTGACATCGTCTCTCTGATCTTAAATGGCTGCAGTTCAATAGCAGAGCACCGCAGACAGGCTGATGTTGCAAAGAAGGAATTCAATGCATTTGTGCTTTTTGTTTGTTTGTTTGTCTTTTTTAACTAAAATGGTCAGCACGTGGTTGCTGTGAGCAAACATCAAGAATGAAAAGGGCAAAATAATAATACTGAAGCTCTTGTTTTGCTTTGATTATGTAATGTAATGTTTGATTATGTTCTGAAATGACATTTCATTTAATGTAGTTACTTATCTAAGCTGGAAAGTTTTTTGTTTGTTTGTTTGTTTGTTTGTTTGTTTGTTTGTTTGTTTGTTTGTTTGTTTGTTTGCTTGTTTGTTTGTTTGCTTGTTTGTTTGCTTGTTTGTTTGTTTGTTTCACTCTTTGCTTCGAGCCCTGTGTACATGAGCTGCATGCTAAAAGACCTTTTGTTAAAAGAGTTGGCGTAATAAGCATATATGCTTCAGCCAATACCTTTTAATTAGCCTTGTCTCGTGCTTTCTTGCTTTGTGGTAGATCTTTATGCTGTATTCACTGAGATATTTGAATGCTAATCAATAAATCAATAAATCAGAAATCAGCAGATGCACATAGAGTATCTTCTCCATGCACACAGACTAATGTTAAATAAAATATATAAGTAAAATGTCTTTACGCCACTAACAGTTTGTTACATTTCAAGTGTAATTCATTTGTGACATGGTGAACTTAAAGCATCATCTTTTGCTCCAGTGTTGTGTGATTGTTGGGATTTCCTTTTACCTTAAAATATAAAGCACCTTGAGGTGACTGTTGTGAAATGGAAATATATAAATAAAATTAAACTGAACACGTCTGATTCTGATTCAGTTTATCCACAACATAAACTTGGGAATGCTGCTTTTTAACTTGTGAAGCTAATTAGCTCAACGGGACAAGAGGTGGATGTAAAAGAGGTCTGGCATCAGAGTCGAGGCTTAAAGCTTTTTATTTTTTGTGTGTTTCATCTTAATCAATAAAAAGTTGGTAGAAAATATTTCTTGAACACAAACTTTAGCTTGCTAGAAAATCTAACAAGGACGTAGGTGGGAGAGATAACAAAGCAGCATCAGAAACGTTGCTGCTCTGGTTCAGCTCTCATTTTTTCTGCTCGCTGGTTAATTCTTTGCCCCAAAACCATCAAGACAAATGCTAATGTTTAGTCCAAAACAAATGGTGGTGGTCCACATTTTTTTAAACCACAGATTAAGATTTTATATGACAAAGGGCAGTGACTGTGGTGGAAACCTGGCTGCCTTATTTTTTTTATTTTGTTCTAGCTGAAGGATTTTGAATCTTACAGTGAAGAAGGGAATTAGAGCTGCCTGGATCAGTATAGCTGGTTATTGTCAGCATGACTGTGGTATGAGTATATTATAGGTTCTGAATATACAACATGACGAATAGATAAAGTGACAATGTAACAGAGCCTCATCTGGAGCAACGAGGTTCTCCACAGATCAGCACAGAAGAAGAGAATCCAGTATCAGTGTAGCCGTAGCTAACTTAGAGAATTATCATCAACTGTGATTGGCCAGTTTCATACAAGGTGAAGAAAGACTACCTAAGATCCCGCCTCTTTCTAATTCTACACACTAGTCTCTGTAACAGTGAATATAAAACATTCAGTGTTGAGAAATCACAGCGCACGCAGGAAGGAGGTGAAAGTCCTGCAAATCTATCTAACCTGGGTCACACCTGGTGAAGGACCAGCAGCTTTCAGGTCCTTTGGGTCCACATGTGGTCTTACCACATCAGCATCATGACAATAGCTCTTCCTTTGTTGGGACCTGACTGGCAGGTGTCATACTCTACGGGTAAAACTGGAATTAGTGTTAATAGTGTTGCAGGCTGGACCTCTCGCGTGTCATTCTTTTCTTTCACTATATTTCTTCGTCTACTGAAGGCAAATGTGGATTAAGTGTTTCATGGCTCTGCAGTGCTGTAAATGGACACGACGAGGACTGTGGCAGAAAGATGAGGATCCCCGAGAAACCCGACCTCTTTACATCTTTTATCAAAGAGTGAAACTATTGTAATTTAAACAAATCCAGAGAAAATAAAATAGCACAGTCGTGCTGATCTTCATGTCACAAAAATCCAGTTTATTTTGTACTTTGTAAAAAATGTGGGGTGTTAGCCTATTTCCCCCACAACGTTTGAGAAGCTTTGTGTAAGATCACACTTTCATGTATGAGCACATCAGCGATGTGATAGTTAAAACAACAGGATCAAAGTGCTGCACTTCTCTCTAACTCTACATGCACCGGTTTTGTTACCTTTCAAACATGTAGCCTTTATGCTCAGTGTCACAACTTCATATGATTTCTCTTCACTCTTGAAAGTTTATACTTTTTTTAACCACAAACCAAAAAGTCCTCCCAAAAACAGACTGATGTGTGACTTTAAGAGCTAATTCTAGGAGTTAGCGCCAGTAATTGTGTTGATTTGGGAGCAGTGAAGGGTAAAAGGGGACAGATTTTGATAGATAGCCTTGTGAAGTGAAGAAGGTTTGTCCAATCAGCCAACTTCATACCAAATCCATGTTACCAGGAGCTTATGTGTCAACCACAAAGCTGAACAGGGATTGAACCACAGTGTGAGTCAGCAGTGCGAAACACTGGCAGCACATCTTCAAGGAAAATCCTGCACAAACTGACACTTTACTGGAAGAAGTCTGATTGATCTGAAGCTAAAGTTTGTATTTTCAAGAGTTTTGTAGTCGGAAGCAGGATCGGCTGAGCGTGGGGTGGATGGGGACGGCTTTTAAATTAAGGGGAAAATCTGCAGTTTAAAAATATATATATATTTAAATTGTGTGAATACAACGGGTAAATTCAGCAAATTGCAAATATAAACATGTGGAATGAGCTAGAGTTACACATGAATGTTCTCCAGTCAGTTTAAACCAGTGTGAATCACATCAGTTTTGCAAAAGTGAAAAGTTGCATCAATCAACTCAGCGCTACAGGAGCCTTTTTGTCCATCAAGAGAAAGACTCCTCACACATTCAAGCTCATCTCACATTTGATGTTTTCTACGTTCTGCTGTGAACACAGAATTGTAAAATTTGGGGTTTTGAAATTTGGAAATTATTCCATTCTGCATCCAAATCTTTTGAAATTGTCAATGAATGACAGGACAACACGAGATAAAGATTTTTTAAATGCATTTATTTATGAAGAAGCTTTTTCCTGTGTTTCCTGTTGTGTCACATGTATTGTAGTCTTACGTTACTCAATCTTGTGTTGTAAATGGTAATAACAATAATAATTGCTTTGAAAGCATTTCAACAACATGGACATTTAAAACACGCTCTGTCTCTTTCAAAGCACAACATCACAAAGACAGAAAAGAGGAATCTGAAACGTACGCACACCGGAGTGTTAATCACAAGCCACATGATTTATTGACATGAACAACAAGTGTCAGTTAAGGCCTTTCATTTTTACATTTGCATTATCAATAATGGAAACTCTCCTCCCTTGTAACCAAACCTGCCGTTGTCAGCGAGTCTTGTTGCATCTTGTTAATTCTCAGAAATAATTGAAAGAATCAGCTGTCACGCACATTTTCAGCCGAGCTACAGACAGTCAGAGGCACGTGGCACCTACCTTAGAGAGCAACGACTTTGTGTAATATTCATTGCTCTACATTTTTATTATGGTTCTGATCCACAGCACAAAAGATTGACATTGCTGCTGTAACATCACCAAGTGGTTGTTGAGGTAATGTTAGCATTCTCTGAGCATTGTCAGGACCAAATGAGCGGTGGATAAGCCTCTGCAGCTACACACTCATTGACTAACAAGTTGTGATGAGCCTGCTGGCTGGTAAAAACAAAAGGTTTTTGAGGCACTTCCAGGTCGGCTTCAGATCCAAAAGACGTGTCCGTCATTTCTATTCTCTTTGGAAGACAGATTTAGAAATAAAATTACGATTTGTGGCAACAGGTATGTGCAAAGCAGAGACAGTAAAAGAGATGGATATACTGTAGCTTCTGGGTCTG